TCACCAAAACTGAGCCAAGAATAGATAAAAACCTTGAGCAGTTCAGTAACAGGCAATTAAATTGAGGGAGTAACAAAAAGAAGAAGAAGAAAAAAAAAAAGACTACCAACTAGGGAAGACTAGGACCTGATGGATATACTATTGAATTCTACTCAGTCTTCCAGACTGTGTCTTAGGAAAGATACGATACCAATACTACTCACACTCTTTAGTGTAGTTGAAAGGGAAAAAGTACTTTCAAACTCATTGCTACAGCTAGCATTACCTTGATTCCAAAACCAAACAAAGACGCAGCCGAATAAGAAAACCACAGACCAGTCTTTTTAATGAACACAAACGTAAAAAGTCTCAACAAGACACTGGCAAATAGAATGCAAGAAATCATCACAAACATCATACATCATGACCAACTAGGTTTTATCCCAAGGATGCAAGATGGTTTCTGTTAATTAGTTTCTCATTCACAAATCAGTAAAGGTAGTCCATCACATAAATGATGAAAACCACATGATCACCTCATTAAGTGCAGAAAAAAATCCACCATCCAGTCATGATAAAAGCCTCTGAAGAAAATAGGTATAGAAGGACCTTATCTCAACCTGACAGAAGCCACTTATAACAAACTTACTGCGGACATGATACTAAATGGAGAATAGATGAAAGCTTGCTCTCTAAAATCAGGAACAAGACAACGATTTCCACTATCATCACTCTTATTTAAAATAGTAGTTGAAACATTAGCAAGAGAAATCAGGCAAGAAAAAGGAAAAAAAGGGAATATATGGGAAAGGAAAAAAATTATTATTTATCCATGATATGATCCAAAAATTCAGTATTTCTGGATGACATGACCCCAAAATTCCACTAAAACATTCCTAATAAATAAACTCAATAATGTATCAGCATACAAAATCAATACACAAAAATCAATAGTGTTCCTATACACCAATGATGAAATCAGTCAGAAAAAAGTTTGGAAAATAATACCATTCACAGTTACCTCAAGAAAAATGTAAAATTTGGGAATTACCCAAATCAAGGAAATGGAAAACCTCTGTAATGAAAATTACAGTGTTCTAAAAGGGGAGATCAAAGATAGAAAGGTATCCTCCGTTTCTAAATAAACAGGACAAATATCCTCAAAATAGCCATACTACCAAAACTGATGTATAGATTTAATCCCAATTAGATTACCAACAGCATTCTTTACAGAACTGGAGAAAACAATCCTAAATGTATATGGAACAAATAGAAACCAGAAGACAAAAACAATCATGACAATAGGAAGAAAAGAGGAAACATACAATTCCAGATTTCATGTTATGTTACAAAGCTAAAGTGATTAAAAACAGCATGGTACTGCCACGGAAACAGATATGTGGATTCATACGACAGAACAGAGGAAGTAGAAACAACCCAAGGAACACTCAGCCATCTGATCTTTGGCAAAGAGGCTGAAAGCACATACTGGAAGATAGCTTTGATGCTAGCCCTTCTTCTGGAGTAAGATAGAATCTCAATCTTAATTTGGATTTCTCTAATGGCCAGAGATGCTGAATAGATTTTTATGTATTTATTGGCTATTTATACTTCTGAGAAGTAAAAAATGCCAATGAAATAAAGTGAAAATTGGAGACCTAAATATTAGAACAGAAACACTGATCTACTGGACTATAAAATGGTTATAACTATTGAAGACATAGGCACAGGTTTCTACATAGAACCCCAGTTATACAGGAAATGCCATCAAGAATCCACAGAAGGGATTATATCAAATTAAAAGGCTTCTTCACAGCCAAGAAAACAGCCAATAGAGCCAGGAAACAGCAAATGAGAAATGAGAGAACCCGCAGAATGGGAAGAATAATTTGAGACCTACTCCTTGGACAGAGGACTAATTTGTAGACTATACATAAATACCTAAAAAGCTCAGACATCCAAACAGTAAATTAAAATTAAACACCCAGTCAAAAACTGGGAAAGTGAAATGAATAGATACTTCTCAGAAGAAGTATAGATAGCAAATAAATACATTAAAAAATTATTCAGCTTCTCTGGCCATTGGAGAAATTCAAATTAACATTGAGAATCCATCAGCTATCATCAAGAAATCAAATAACAAATGCTGGCAAGGCTACAGGGGAAAAGAAACCTTTATCCATTGTTGGTGGGATGTAAACCAGTGCAATCACTATGGAAATCATCACTGAGATTCCTCAGAAAACTACAATAGAAGTTCCATTTGACCTAGCTGTTTCTCTTCTAGTTATCTTCCCCAAAGAGTCAGATATATTACAGTGGTATGTGCATACCCATGTTTATAGAAGCATAATCCATAATAGCTAAATTTTGGAAGTGACCTATAATTGCATCAACAGGTGAATAGATAATGAAAATGTGGGTTTTCTACACAGTGGAGCACTTCTTTGCCAATAGAAGGATAAATTTGAATCTTTTCTAGGAAAACTGATGTACCTTGAGACCATTTTTAGATTAAATAAGTCAGACACACAAGCTTAAATATCACATGACATCTTTTATGTTAGATACCCAAAGTATGAATAATCTAAAGAGCAAAATAAAAGAGAATAGGAAATAGCTTAATAGAATAGATTTTTCTTGGGGGAAAAGAGAATGACAATATTCAAGAAAGGAGAAATTTGCTACGTAGTTATGTTTGTTCACTCATTCCCAGTATGGGGAATTAAGTCTAGTGCCTTGTGCATGCGAGGCAAGCACCTGACCAGTCCCGGTACTGCACTGTCAGCCTTCATATTTGTGTTTATGTTGGAAAGAATTCATTATGGAATATTTATTTATATTTGGTAAATATTGATGATGGGTACAACAGTTTTTGTTAGGGTATCCCAGCTTTTTCTGTATATTTTCAATGACAGATTTTTTACAAAAATTAATAATGTTTAAGTTCACATTAATGAGAATGTCCAGAAAATTTGAAATGTAAAGGTTAGGGCCATAATCTACTTTATACATAGCATAAGAATTATAAAATGACAGTAGATAATGTAGGACTTGCTGGGGAATACACAGTTAACTTTTTGCTTCAGTATAAATTTCAAAATGGGAAAATATAGAAAAAAAGGCAAACTAGAGGAAATTGTACATGAATATGCAATTGTGCAGATCGTATCAGCAATAAGGAAATCATATAGGATCAAGCATATCTCAATAAACTTTAAATGTAGATAAATACATATCACAAATATGTATATGACAACAGTCCTTACGTGTATTACTTCACAACTAGCATTTGGCTCTAATGGCTTTTGTCCCAGGCCAGCGTTAAACTTCATAAGCAAATGAAAATAAATGGAACATTTATGTCTCAGGCAAACTTGTAAATTATTTTTTTTTTGCATCATACAGATGAAAATGTCATTTATTTTGGGGTCATTTCAAATTTACTTAAATGAATAAAACTACTGGTGAAATACCTCTTGACTATGCGTCCTCACTTTGTATATGATTCTAATGTTTCCACTTTTGTTGCTTTTTTTCTTTTATATTCTTTTTTCTTCAGTTTCAGCTTACCAAACCATGTATCCAGAGTAAAACCAATTTAGACATCTGCTCCACGACTCATTCATAGATAGTCAAAAATGATCTGCTTTAGCTTTGAATTCTCCTAGGTCACATTTGGTCATTCCATTATAATACCTAATAATTTAGTATTAAAATTGATTGAAAATGTAAAGGATAAGTTTAGTAAAGACACTGGTACTAGAATGTAACAGTTATATTTCATTCATTTTCATGGCACATGATTTTTATTTTCACTCTTTGACCAAATATTTTAATAGTTAAGGGCTTAAAAAGGACAGAGACATAGTTAAATGGAAATCATCTTCTCAATAAAAGCCAAATGATATGTCAGACAGCTTTCATGTAATTAAAAAATATGTACATGCATAGCACGTGGTAGAATAGACATGGTGATATAAATGTATCTGCCATAGAATCAGTATTATAACGTATTTGCAGAATTTAGCTCTAACAAATTCTCTATTATATTAAAATCAATTTGAAATGTCTTGATTTTCTGGTTACTTTAATTTGTGTTTTTTTTTATAATTGTATATTTTATGCATGGTATATGTCTACTGAATATTTGTATAAACATATCTAACTCAATGTCAGGAGTCTGGTAAATCTTTTCAAAGGATTTGTGTATTACTCAACATTGAAAAATACTGGGATGGGCTGCATAATATTATAAGGGTCTGAAGCAGAAGAAATTAATGTTAGAATAATAAGAAATGCCAGTCTGAGTTACAGGTGCATCTTGATTGTCTTGGGAACCAGTGATTTTGATTGATTTTGCTAACAGACATTTGTGAAATAGTCTAGAAAAAACTTTGTATGATGCTCAATCAGTATGTGTATTTAATTGGTTGTTGCTTAAATACCATAATTAAAAATACAGAGGTGAGTTTTTGCTTCTTACTGAAACGTATGTTTAATGCTTTATTTCTTTAATCTCTAATATATCTTCATATTGTTCTATATTGCAGTGAATTATTTGCAGCCTGTACAGTTGTTGTGTAAAATGCTATCTCTTTATGGATATTTTTATGAGTACTTTTATTTGAAAGATAATAATTCATCATAGAATATAATATAGCTTCATTAGAATCCATTGTGAGTTTCAGAAGCATGTTTTTGTTCAATCAATAACTACATAGAACAATTTCACTAATAAAGAAAATTTTGAATACAGCTGGATCTTAATTTTTAAAGAAGTATTTTGTGACATATTTAGATTAATAAGACTAACCGAAAATTGTAATTGAATAACCAGAGTACTGTGAACAGTGTTATTTTGTTTGTAGTCAGTATTACTTTTACTTACCTTTCTTGTTGGGTGGGGGAAAAACCTTGTCTTTTAGAGAATACAGTGGTATTATTTACATTAATTCATATGGCTTGGTGAAAAAAATGTGCTAACTCCTTTCCTTAATGGGATTCTTCCCCTGTGGCAGTGCAAACGGCTAGAGCAGGAGCTTCATCATCTGAAAGAGCAGAACCAGACTTCAGCAAACAACATGAGACATCTGACTGCTGAAAACAATCAGGAACGTGCTCTGAAGGTAAATCTCTGTTCCTTCTTGCAGGCAAATTAAGGCCATAAGCCCTTGGTGCCAGCTCTCTGTGCTGCATATATCAGTTGTGTACATTTCAGCAGAAGTGAGCTATGGTGTTTGCCAACAACCCCTTCTTTAAACACAGATACAGCACCCTTCTGTTATGGTCTTATTTTATTTCATGTATCTGTTCATGAAAACAACATATTTTTTGAATTTGGAGTGGTAGAATATTAAACACTTTGGTACATATTCCTTCTTTTTTTACATTTTAAACTTTTATAGTTAACAAAAAGTGAACTCATTAAAAGAAAAAAATTAAATCATGATGCAACAGTTATATTTGTATTGGTATTACAATAATTTTTCAGTGTGCTGTAATATTAGTAACTCATAGCATTTATACTCCTTGAAAGATACAGGAACATGCTTCGGGTTTGTAATGATACTTAGGATGCTACAATAAAAGAAAAGAAATAATATATTCATCTAGAACTTGAAACCAAGTTCTGTCTCATTATAATGTAGGTCCAGTAATCATGAGAAAGGATGTTATTTTGATTTTACTAATTTTATTTTTTTCTTAAAATGTTTGTCACTTCCCATCCTACTTTTTATGTTTGCCCAGTTTCTAGAGTATTGCCTGTGACACAGTAATGATCTCTACCTTCAAGGTGCTTGCATTCTTATTAACATGTTAAAAGTGAAAATCCATAGAAAGCAAAAGAGTCATCTTTGTTTTTAAGTACAGTAAAAAAATGATTTGCTGCCAAAAGGGTTGTATTGCACTTTGTCATCTTAAAATCATTTTTTTCCTGCAAATTACAGAAAGAATCATGTTTTTAGCAACCCAATCAAAGGTTGAGAAAATTAATCTTCCAAAGTCTAGAAAAATGGTGACATTTTGATATAGAATTGATTTTAATCTGTTCAAGAAAAGGTTTGACAGAAATCAGATTTTTCTACAGAATATATGTAGCTTCCTTTTGAAATTCTTAGTGGTGAGCTTATAATAACTTATTATTGTTTAGTGCATTTTCTCTTTTTATTTCTACTGGATTTATAGATATACCATAAAAATAAATACAAAAAGAGATAATTATATATTTTTGTGATCCAAAGAATGGAGTATTTCATGAAAATTAAGTGTAATAATTTTAAAGCATTACTTGCAAAATGAAAATCAAGATTGTTTTAATGGCCTCTTCTGTAATGCTTGCTAATTTCTTATTAGTGTTAGGGGACAGATTTTTATATGCTTAATATAATATGGCTGTTTTTATTAAAAAGAGAACCTAAGGGGGTGGTGCACCCCTGTTATCCCAGCACTCTGGGAGGCGAAGGCAGGAAGATCACCGGTTCTTATGGCATCACCTGCTGTTTATGTCCTAATGAAAGCCCGGTCAGCCCCTCCACTTGGATATCTGAATGTCTCCTTACATAGCAACTGTGAAACCAAATGCTTTGACTCAGTATGCCTTCTCCATAGGAGGAAGTCAGGATCTAACGCAGACATATTATATTGTCTGGATAACTTAACATTTCTTTTTTTTTTTTTTTTGGTTTTTCTCCGGTACCGGGAACTGAACTCACGACCTTGCGCTTGCCAGGCAGGCGCTTTTGCCGCTGAGCTAAATCCCCAGCCCCCAACTTAACATTTCTTTCTAGTCATATTTTCCTTTGTTACAGAAGTGGAAAAAGTTAAATTTTTTTCAGCATTTCCTTTGCCAATGAAATGTAACGAGGAACCTACAACAGGACTAGAGGAAGAAAGGACATCTCTGGAAAGGGATTTTTGATATAAGGGAGATCAAGCAAACACCATTACTCCTTCCTGTTTATTACCTTTAATACTTTTTAACTGTTTTTGTACTGGGAATCGAACTCAGGACCTTGCACTTGCCAGGCAGCTGCTGAGCTATATCCCTGGCTCTACCTTTAATACTTACCTGATTCTGAAACTATAGGAACTATTTTACAGCAATGAAAAAAGTCCAAGGGAAGCTGTCTGACACCTTTGAGTCCCGTAGTCAGTGAGCTACTGAGAGAACATTAAGCACCTATAACCTGACTTCTTTTGCTGGTGAGAGAATAAAGCTCTATTTTATGTAATTCTCATTGCTTTCTATTATTTACTGCCAGCTTGATCCAATAACATCTATTCATTAATCCTCTCAGACATGTAGGTTGTAATAATTGATGTAATCATCATATTCTTTCAAGATCTCACCTACCACAAAGCAATTCAGAGTCCAGTCCTACGAATTATGCAGTGGTTATTTCCAATTTTACTCTCATTTTTATCCTACTCTATCAAGACTACAACCTAGAGTAATAGTACAAATATTTCTCTAATTATTCTATCCTAATCAGTTGTCATATTGCCTAAAGCACAGGAAACTTTTTTTTTTGAAACTCTTTTATACTCTGAAACTGCACTGTATCTTACTTTTTCAGGAATATAAGAAAATGTTGATACTTTGAATAACCCTCCTGTGTTAAGAAATGACAAAGGATGTTTAAAGTTTTTATTGTGAGAATATCTTAAAACATATTATTGAGATAGCAGGAAAATAAAGAATATGCAAAGGCCCTAAAGTGGAAATGAAAATGGAAAAAAGGTAATAATAAAACCTGTGGTCAATAAGTGATTACCTGAAACTGTCTTTCACTCTCAGTGAATTTGTGAAATCTTGGTGAATTTGAGCATCCATGTTAATGACTGTGAAGGCAAGACTGAAGGGAATTCATGAGAAATCCTCTCTTAGACTGATGAGAGGCCATCACCACTAGTGTTTCAGGAAACTTGATTTGAATAGAAGGGGAAAACTCTTCTCTGAAATTGTGTCTTTCATCACAAGCTTTCAGATTGTTCATTACCACACAGACAAGTTAGTATCTTGCTTATATGTGTGGGACTAAGAGCTGAGGCTTTAACTTGAATGGTCCTGCCCTGGAAAAGCCCATAGACAACAAACCAAAGTAAACTGTCTTCACAATTTGCATCCAACAGTTCTGATAGTCAGAAACACTGAGCTAACACACACAAAAAATTAGAAAATACATAACAGTAAAATACACTTGTAATGAAAGCCAGCAGAAAGATAAGACAACAAAATCATATAGTTCAGCAGGTAGATCAGGCATTTTAATTATCCATCATAGAGTATATCGTAAGTATGTTCTGTATCTTTGAGGCAAAAGGAAAGCTTGAAAACAAAATCTAGGAAAGTGACATAAAGGACTTGACCGGAATTGATAGAAAACTAGGCTGAACTTAGAAAAATTTAAAATAAAATAACTAGCACCCTTAGTAAATATGTTGAACAGCAGATTGCACTGTTTAAGAAATTATATAATCTAGAATATGGGTTTGAAGCAAATGTTGAAATTGAAGTCAGAGAGATTAAGAAATGAAGACTACAAAACAGATATTCAAGGACAGAAGAGGTTTAAAATAGATCTGTTCAGAGTTCCAGAGAAGGTAATATAGGGAATGGGGAAAAGTCATAACAAAAAAATTTTTTAAGTTGTCAAATGGCAGAAATCTCTGATCTGAGAATCCCAAATGAATTTCCATTGTGGTGAATGTTTTAAAACTTGCTGAACACTGGAGTTCAGAAAGCCACTTGAAACAGACAATTAGAAAATCATGTTTGCAAAGGAGTGGCAGATTCATCGACTTCACAGCCGCAATCATAGAATAATATTGTGACTCCACTGAGTACAAGAAGAACCATGCCTTACATATTTCAGAGGGAAGGTAACATAGAAAGCAAGAATGAGGTAACAGTAAACATGAATAACTATCTTCAGTTGCTTCCTGTTGCCTATAGAATAGAGCCCAAGCCTCTTCTAAGTACACTTGGAACACTACACTGTAGTTTTACCCTGCTTCCCCCGTTTCTCTTTTCTTGCGCCATTTCTGTCTAGTTGTGTTAATCTCATGATATTCCATACTTTTCATGGAGTTTCCTAAGTGTGTCATATTATTTCATTTGCTTTTGCTTTATTTAATATTGTCTGTAATATTAGTTAATTACTATCTCCCCTAAATCAGAAATTTCTTTAGCATAGAGACTCAATGTTTTTTTGATGTTGTTCACTTGGAATTTAGCACATTGTTTGGATCATATTATGCAATCATTAATTTTTTAAATAAATAACTTTTAAGCTATCCTCATTGATGTTCATATTTTTATTATCTAATATGTTCAAGACAGGAATGACATGGGATTATTCTGGTATATTATCTTTATAATTACTACATGTGCCAAGCTATAGCTCTGTAGAAGGATTTCTCTTTCATACTAAAGTTTCTTAGCTCATGAATTGAACAAACCATTTCTAGTTTTCATTGTTGATTTAAAAATACTGATAGAAGAGCTTTTAGTTTATTCATTTTATCTTTTGAAGTTTAAGAGTTCTTTGCAGCATAAGGTTTGTGTTGTTTTTTTTTTTTTTTTTTTTTTTTTGAGACAACGTCTCACTGTGTAGTGCAGGCTGCCCTTGAAATTGCTTATGTAGCCCAAGCTGGCCTCAAAATAATGGCAGTTCTCCTCAGCCTCTTGAGTGTTGGGGTTATAGCCATACACGCTAACATAAGCTCTTTGTGAGGATGGATAAATACCAAGCACCATTCATTGTACTGGATAGCAGATACCTAAGAACAGTTTCTTAAGATGAAATCATCTGTTGAGATGAGTTATTAGTATTTTTCCAAGCAATGTTACTGTTTTTGATATGCCCAGATGATACCAGCCCTTTACAGAGAGTGAGGTATGCTTTTGGATCATTTCCTAATACCACACCTAACTCTGGGAATGGATTTTGAATGTTAAAATCCTGAATTTCTCATTTACTAGATACAGAACATTAGGAAATCCAGTTAACTTTTGTGAATGTTGGCCTTCACATTTGTGAAATACTAAGTATATGGATATTGCTACAAGTAATAAAAATGTAAGCAATCTCTGTAGAAAGTATGATACATTATGCCAATAGTT